TACCACTTTATACGTGATTCACAGCTAACAATTTATTGGCGTCTCAAACCTTCACTTGGGTCTTTCCTTGATATGGCAGGCGATGTTGCATGCCTCTGGGAAATAGGGACGAATCATGCTCTGGCCTGAGGACTGAACGCTTCACTCCATGTGGGAGAAGAATTCAGGTTTCTTTGAACTCTCTCTCAACATATCACGATGTGTAACTGTATACACTGATGTTTAATGAGACTGGTTGGTCACCCAAGGATACTTCTAGAGCCGAGACTTTCAGCGTACAGATCTCAGCCAGTAAAATAAAGGACGTGGGAAAAGGGACGAGGGGAATTCTTTTAAATTTCGAAACATACGCCAGTGATAAACAGCCTGTGGCTAAATATGAAATACAGCCACTGAAACAAAGTTCTAGGTTAGGCTACTTGAATATGGCGAAGCCATGAGAGCTATTGGTCTAAGAGGAGGGATGTCTTCGTAGAGAACTTTCGAAGGGAAACTGGCTCGTAGAATATCAGGAAAACCATGTAGCAAGCCCGTTCACCTGGGTTTGAACACATGCCAGGTCGATCTACTAATATTCAGTGGCCTTAACAACTTGACCACTCATAGACCAACTAAGCAGTATATTCCCACAATAAATACTATATGCCAGTGCATACATTTTATAAGGTTTATTATTTAAATTAACATATTATTTATAATTTCAGACTTTACTATAACTTCTCCTTTCCGTTTCGTCACTAGAATATAAATGAGTTAGATAGTGTTTAAACTGCGGTATCTGGATGGTAAGACGGAGAGTGTTTCTAGCCTGTGCGTGCAAGCTACGTTTATTTACTGCCAGATTTGATAGTTGCAATTATTCGGCTTTCAGTTATTTCGCTGCTAGCAATTTGATTTTGACGCTTCGGTTAGAATCATTGAACCAGCTTAGAGTATATTTAAACTGTGTAGTTAGCAATCTGACTGCTATGTGATGCCTTAACTTGAAACTCACTGTTCCTTCAGTTGCATCCCCACGAGCTATGGTTGCCAAGAAAATGAGTTTATGTACTAAAATATGTTTAAATAAAACGGTTGTTTAAACGTTTTCAAGACACTGCAGTTACTTTCAGATACAGCGATGATTCACTTAATATCTGTTAGGTGTTTTGGGCTCATTGCTGGTTCCAGATCAAGTAAAACCCCATAATTTTCATAAGGGATATAACCAAATGGACGAAGATTATTATCTCCGATTTTCACGCACGTTCTCAGAGAGCTCCTTCAAATTGCGCTTGCCTAAGTTAACCTTTCCCCAGGAGACCACGGCTACTATTGGTTAAAACAGTTAACTCCGCCTTCCAAAACCAACGTAGAATTTCCCGTTTATCGCTCTCCTTTATGCTTTCAACAATGTACCTGTTCTGTTTAGAGATGTTCTATCTCAGCTAAAATATCGTAGAAAATATAGTGTGTGTGTGTGGTTATGGCAAAGCCTCGAGGGCTATCTGCCTAAGAGGAGGGATGCCTTCGTGGAGGACTTTCTAAGGGAAACTGGCTCGTATACACGTTATACATGGGGAAAACCACGAAAACACCCATGCAGCCAGCCCGTTCGCGGGATTCGAACCTCGGACCGAACTACCAGTGTTCAGCCACTTTTACCGCTCGGCCGCTGGTGGGCCTCGTAGAAAAATATAGAAAATATACAAATAAAAATATGTTTAAATAAAATATAAAATATCGTTTTAAAATTGAAAGAAGCCGTTATGTCTTATTTATTTGGAGAAAGTAAAAGGTTAACAGTATGGTATATTGAAAGTGAGACCAATATACGCATATTTTATTATTATTTATTAATACTGAATAATGTACCAAACTTATCTTATAACTATACCAAATTTATCTTATAAACTTTATCTACTTTATACATATTACATGGACATCTTGTTCCAGTAGTCTCAAACTGGTGGCTCCGAAGCAATTTAACTCTGTTCAAGAAATGCATTTCAAACATATTTTTGTTTCAAATACGATGTTGCAAAGATTTCAAGATTTTAATTACTTGAAGTCCAAGTGAACACTATTTTCCTTATAGTTCAAAACGAACATGAATAATGTAGATGAAAATCTGCAAATGGAACCAACTAATTTACAGTATAATATAAATCCTATTCAAAGATTTGAAAATACACATCTGATAAACTTTTACTCGTACTTGTCAAAAGATAAATATCCTCAGTTACTGATTTGTGCAATAATTATTATTTTGTTTGGGAGCACATTTATATGGGAAGAGTTTGTTTCGTAGTTGAAAATTAATATGAAAAGACTCCGATTGACTATGACTATCTACAAACCGTGATAAAGATAATTTCCAGTAATTTCTCTCCAAGGCTACAAACTTTATCAGAACCGAAACGCCATTTCGTGCCAAGCTGTGGTTAGAAATAAAGAAGTTTATAATTATATACATAAGAACATATGTATTTTTCATTTATGAGTCAAAAAAATGAAATAAATAAGATAAAAAAAACTAGGTTGTCATTACTTATTCTCAAGGCTTTGTCAAGATTTGAAAGTCTTCTCTGAAAACTTAGAAAATGTTCAGAATTTTATGATTTTAAATTTAAATTATAGTTCTTTAGTGATTAATTAAACATGTTAGAATTATTTTAAATAAATGTCAATCTGAAGATTTAATACTTAGCTCTCAATACATTGTGTAACCAACAAATGTCTTGCAGGTACCAAATTTTACAGCTAAATATAAATTTGACTTTCCCCCTTTGCGATGTTATTATTATTGTTTATGTATGTTTTGATAAAATTTTATAAGCGAAATTTAAAACCCATTTAACATATTTTTTACTTTGTTAATAAGATATTTAAAAAATTTTTAACAATCCTGGCTCGTCAACTGTTTACAGATTGCGCATTTGGTCATGAAAGCTATATGAGTTTAAGAACACTGTCCGGACTCATATTGCAACCATTACATATCGTAATGGTTGCAATATTTTGCGGTTTTATATATCCGCGGTATACCTGGAACGATTTGCCCACGGAATGCAGAGGTGCTTCTGTATGTTGTTTTAAAAACAATAAAACCGTTTTGAAATAGGAAGAAAGCTTTGGGGTAAATAACAAGGATTTTATAGTTTTTTATTATTTTCAAGTCTAAATTTGCAGTTCTTTCTTCTCCAACTTAATATTCAGGGAAGTGGTTTCGAATGATACGCAAATTTTAACTTTTTTATTAAATAGTCAACTCTGTTTTCTCAGATAGTATTCTTTTGGTTTTAAACTTATGGTTGTTAATGGATGTCAATGTCTTTTATTATGGTTGTCAATGGATGTTAATAGGAGCAAACTGGGGCAAAAATACAGCGGTTTTCATCACAATAATACTTTTTATTAGAGGAAAGACTAATGCTAAACTGAAAAATAGTATAAGGTATTTCTAACGCTTTCTTAGCATGCGTTCATAGTGTAGTGGTCAGCACGCTCGGCGCCTATTCGAGAGATCCGTGGTTCGATTCCCGGTGACGGCATCTCTCATATTTCGCATCTCCTACTTCCAAAAAATACCTAATGCCTCTACACTGGCGCCCGAACTGAAAAGGATGGTGGATGATGATTGCTTTGCCATACCCAGGTTTTGGCGACTGAGTCCCCTAAAACCCCAGTCGCCCTTTAAAAGGGGGAGTATATAAGGTATTTCTCCCACCTTCTTCTAGCATTTAATTTCCGACGGAGTTCTGTTTATGTTAATTTTCAGTTTGTATAACCGTCGGATCGGCGTGTTTATAAATATTTTTATTTTCAGTTTTTATTTTGATTGTGCTATTTCTATAGTCCGTTACCCTACCTGCATTTACGACCGTAATATGAGTTGCACACAGAGGACATAAATTAAAGTACACGACCTGCTGCCGCAGCCGTCATTAATATGGTTACGAGACAAGCAAAAAAAAGGGAAAATTACCTTGAAGTGCTTATTCTAAAGTAACAGACTATGGGTGAGAAATCAGATGAGACTAAATGTCGCCCTGATGCCGCCTTTGCAGGTACTACTATGACTGCTTTTCCTTTTTTATGTTCTTACTGTAACCGCACCCTTCGGAAATTAAATGATTCGCAAAATTTTCCCCTCTCGATTTTAGAATTATAAAATTAGTAAAAAAAAAGGGGGGAATATGATATTTCTTACTTTTGTATCAACTAGTAAATTTTTAATAAGTGAAAGAAAGAAACTAAAGCATTCAACGTTCGGAAATAACTAAAAATTAATGCTACTTATAGCCAGTTAATAGAATTTTAAACTTAACTTTCTCTTTGCAGTTTCTTTTTACACAATTTTTTATCACAAAAATCTACTAATCCACTTTAATAAACGAAGTTAATTAGATAATGACTTTTAACTGTTAGCAGCATAAGTTTAAAATTTCATTAACTACTGTACGTAGTATTAGTTTTTACTAATTTACTTATTTCAAAATTTTAAATGCTAAAGTTTCCTTTCTGCTTTTTCACCAAACATTTATTGATCAGTATCAAAATATGAAATATAGAAGTAAAAATGTGACTTATTTCTTCTTGTGCACACCAATTACTACTCAAAAACTAACTTAAAATGCTTTCAGTCAAAAAATGTATGTCATTTGAGTTATCACAATCAATGATTTATGGGTGCTTTATTTTATACCACGTTATTTTGCACCAGTATGTTTAAATATTGTGAAGTTTTTGCACCACTTTATTTTCTACCTCTATATTTTAAAAGTGTGATGTTTTCTCCTTGCTTTCTTTTTTCTGCCTATGTTTTGCCCGGCAACATTTTCCTCTTGCGTTCTTTTCTCCACGTTTTTGTTTCAACGTTTTCACAATTTAACCATATTTTCAATGTTTACTTCACTGGTGACGGTAGGAGCTCTACAAAAAATAATAATTTTATGGATTCAATAAGGTTTGAATAGAACCTGTGCGCTTTGTCGTATTCAAATAAGTAAAGAAACATATTAAATGCACTTCATTCTTTATTACGTTATGGACAGATCATAAGTGATTCTAGAATCCATAATTCCAAAATGAGAGATGTTCCGAAATAGGAGATACAGACGGCACTCGTTTCAAAAAAGAAGTGCAGGCTGCTGCCTTAAAAGCCTCGGGCAGTAGAGGTGGAATAATCCTCATCATATCCCTATTCACTTCGTTCACTTCGCCTCCAAGTCTTTCGATTTTAGAGCTCAGAACTAAAACCTAAAAAGGAGTAAAATCATAAATCAGACTAGATAAAATTTAAAAAAAAAAAAAAAAAAAAATCTGAAATGTTTCAGATTTTAAATTACGTCCAAAGGGGCGTTTTTTAACATTTTGTGTGTTACCTTTCTTTATTAAATATCATGTTCCTCGCACTTAAACCATAAGATCCAGTGCAACAGCAATATCGCAAAATAGTTTTAAAACGAGCATATCTTTAGAATTTCCGATACAGAGACTCACGCGCTGGAGATAAAAATGTTTTTTCTGCACAACGTTGCCATTGCTCGCTTTGAAATCCTTGAGTTTGTTAATCAAAAATTCGTCAAAGTTTTAAAAAATAGGAAATCGATCATAAAAAAATTTCAAATTTCAAATTTGGTCTTCCACATGCTCATATTCGTTGGCGGATTACGTTATTCAAAATTCGATGACTCTATGTACCGTTGTTTTATGACAATACGAGAAATATACATACATTTATGCAGATTTTTCATTATTTAATTTCTTCAAATATAATGCAGGACTCTAACATTTTGTGGCAACAGTTTGAAAAGTGAACCGATATTTATGAGTCCGACGCAAAATGCCAAAACGAAACTAATAGTCCTTCGGGATTCAAATGCCTTTGGACTAAAAAAAAAAACAACCACAGCTTGGTAAAATCTGTACCAGATCTTTACCTGAATTGTCTTTAAATTTTGTCATTGCAAAGCTTTTTCGCGCTTCTGTGCAGCAGTTTGGTTATGGTAAGTTGGAAATTTATCAAAGAAATCTGTTCTCGTAATAATTATTGCTATTTGAATGCTTCTTAACTGCTTCTACATTTAAGTTCAGAATGCTTTACAATTAAACCCAGCTATAGCGAACTCCTCTTATAGAAAATTCACGTATATAACGAGGCACTCTTTTCGGTCAAGTCTAATTTCAGTAACTTAATGTTATTTTATACGTTTATAGGGAACTTCCACATGTATGAAAATCGGATATAACTACCATGTTGGATATACTGGACTAAAAATGTCTTGTATGTTTCAAGTTTTTCTTCAAAATGTTTGCAACTTTCAACTGAAAATTCACTAACTTTGAAATTTATCTTGTGTAGGGTACTGGTATAACAAAATCTCCTTTCGGCTACAATATTTTATCTTCATTCTCATCTTCCTCTGTGTTTTAAGCAAAAGACTATGCGAGGCAGGTACCATACCAGTTCTTGGAAAACCAAGACACATTACAAACGTAACTTATAAGATCCTATTGTGTCACGCATTGATGCAGAGGACGATTGATCCATTGAGACAAAGAGCATGAATCGGTTCTTTGATTCCATTCGAGCTCTTTGATTGAGCTGTGAAACGGCACGCTATTCAAATCTGATGCTTATCCATTGTAAAGGCGTAGCTTACGTGAAAATATGTAATTAAAGGGTCTGCTGACTTTTGTGCTAAGCTATGTTTTGTGACAAATTATTAACGTATGATGAAACCGAAAATAACGCGAAGGAAATTTAGTATTGCACGTAATTATAAATGTAATTAACTTTTGGTACTTTTTAAAATTGAAATTACTATTAACATCTTTTGAGAGATGTTACAATATTAATCACTCTTTTTGTGTGATTCATTAATTAGTTTTAACACTATTTTGTGAGGTAATTTCATTACCCTCCTCACATTGGATAAAACGAAACCCCTGATACAGCGAACAGAACTTTCGGCCTATCGAAGTTCGTTATAAAGTAATTCGATTTTATTTGTACAAATTTCTTATTACATTCTTAAATTCATTAATTTGTCTCTAAATTTTTTATTTAATTATAATGCTCTCTTTTTAATCGGCTTTTGTTAGATTATTTAGAATTTTATATATTCACTATAGTAGTTACTTCAGTGATTCACATCTGACTGTTTGAACATATACCGGTCGATGTGATGTTTAACAAAGCCTGGTTGTGGATTCGGTTTCAAATCGAAAATGTGATATAGATGCTTAAGTCTCTTCTTCCTTCTTAAATGTATTATATTGTCCACTTATTAAGGCTTATTATAAAGATTTTGGATACGAGGTGATCATATTAACCGTTGAATTATGAACATTCTCCGACGAATTTTTTATTGATAAAAGACGAAGAGTCGCATTTCCATTATTTTCTTGTTAAAAACAATCTTGATATCCCTTTCATTTTGTTTCAAATTCTAAATTCGGGACGCAGACCTTAAAAAATGCCAAAGATTTATATTAGAAACATACTAGCTTCCGTTATCAGTATAGAGTCTTTTTAGAAGATTGAAACTTAAAACAAATTCTGTCATAAAGGTTAACGAAGAAAATTCTAGATTTTAATTTCAAAACATGTCTTTCATCCATAACTATGTTTTAGAGCAGGGAATTGTAAAAGAAGCAATCTTGTACTCCCTGGTAATAAAAGAAGAAACATCTTATTTGCTACCTGGATTTGTTGACTACGACAGCTTAAAGATATACTGAATAATCCTTTAATGTTTAGAGGCAAGTTTGTAATTGCAGACTTAAACTGATTTATTTAACTGTGTTTTAGCAACTTTTATTTATAAAATATTAATAGCAACAGTTTTGAATCCATAAAAGAATTAAAACAGGCAATTTCAGTAATAATTTTATCTTACAACTGTAAAAAAATGTTTATTTTTGTTTATTTCAAATAAAATTAAAACGTAATTTAAGGAAGATGGCAAAAATTAAGCAGAATTAATTTGTTAATTTTTGTTTTCTTTGCTTATAGTTAACTCTTACAGTTAAGTTGTTAATTTCCAATTTATGGATTTATATTCATGTCGAACTAGAAGTTTAGATTTCATTATTCGATTCTATTTTTTAAAAATTTATTTACTAGAAAAGAAAACTCACGGAGTTTAAAGTTAGCAGTTAGAAAAGCTTGTAGTGATAATCCATGTAACCCTTATTACGCAATGGGATTGACTGCTATTTTCAGATACAGGTGCTTTTGCAAATTTGTGACATAAATAATTTTTTATTTTTTTGGAGAGTGTTCCATAAGTTAAAATAGTAAATTCCATAATAATCCCTTTAGAGCTAGTATAAAAAATTTGTGAAGTCGTCATTTAGCAGTGTTACGCTTACTATTAATTATCAGGTGGGCCTTGAAAGTGAAGTAAGATCGCACATGTATCAAAATTACATGTTGTCAGCCTATAAAAAGGCCTTGAACACTCGACAGAAATGTACACTAACTACAGTATAGATATTAAAAAAAGACGAGAGCTGAGTAATACTGAAAAGTAGATGGTTATCGGTGCCTACAGGTTCGGTCACTTTCCTTAAAACTTCTATCAATTATAGATATTACGTGCAACACTGAATGATGTAACAGAATAGAAACATTAGAGAGTTGTAAACCCCAACCCCGACCAAAAATGAAAAGAAAAAAACCTCACAGATGGGAATTATCGTGAAGTCAAATCGGCAAACTCCGCAAGAAACCATGGTTATAGACTTGTTTCTTATTGGCATCTAAAAGTGATGCATTCCTCAAGCATTATATCGTTCATTCATTGTAGTTCACTATAATGAATATATGCAATTATTACAACTCGTTCAAGAGATATTCGCATTTGGACCCAAAGGACTACATGCAACATATAATGCAATAATCACCAAATTCTCGCCTCCGATTATAGTGGTGTAAAACATGTCGCCTATGAACCTAGAAAAATGGAAAAGCGTTATGTATAGCCAAGAATCGTATTTGTATGCTGTTGCATTGCAATAGACGTGTATGAAACTGGAGAAAATTACTAATCGGAATGCATTACTGTTATTGTTAAATTTGGCGGAAGAAGAATTACGGCATTTATCTTAATTTTGCTCTGGCCCACTGGTTTCTGTGCCTCGAATCTTGAATGCTGAAGAATATGTAACAATAGTGGACATCATATGTCTTGCCTTGCATCATCTTATGTGGGTACTACACATCGTATGGCAACAATTTGGAATTGGTTTTTATCATTTTCAACATAACAATTTTTACGTCTATAAAGCAAAAGCCATAACCGAGGCATTGATGAAAAGAAATTGAACGAGCACAACTAGAGGGTACAATGCCAGTTCAATCGAACACCTCTGAGGCAATTTTGCACTGGTTCATAACTGGACCATACCACCCCAAACGCCGCAAAACTTTTTGCCATTATTTAGGAGGAATAGAAGGAAATACCTACAGTCATCTACGAAAAACTGTCTTCAAAGGACACATGGTGGACTTACCTCTTACTGGCTTATCAGCTCGAAACGAATAACAATTTCCTATGAGTGTTTAGTCATTAATGGCAATATAGTGTAGCTTTAAAATAACGTGTGCTGCAATGTAAGTAAAAGATGTACTTTAGTTGTCACTATTTTTTTAACTACCAATTGATGTCTTAGTTAATGACATTCATGTGCTATCAATAAGTAAGTCATTTGCTGCATTGTTTACTTCTTCATATTAGTAAGCTCTGCATATGCGTCGTAGGATACACTGAGAGACTAACCACTGTAATAAACGCATTAAATGTTTTCGGTATAATAAACAGCGTAGCACGTCAGTCAACCCCATGCTCGACTTTTGGCAAAAGTATGTAGTTTTTGCCTGTCAAGGCCACGCTACCAGCTCTGATAAGACTGAAATTAGGCTTTGTGTTATATGTACCTTCCTTTAAAGTGTATACGGGTGAGAAGCTTTGATACAACTTAGTTTAGAACTAAATTGTGTAACCTCTTGACTACTAGGTTATGTTTTAATTTGAATTTAACTGTTACTTTAAATTACACCGCCATAAGTGGTGGTTGATCGTATCAAGCACGACTGCGTTTTATGAGAAGTGCGTTTTGTATTCAAGTTTTGATTTAATAAAAAGGTTTGTTTTAAACCTTTTCAAGAATTTTTAAAATCCATGTTACATTTCTGGAATAATGGCAAGAGTTTTTTAATACTTTAGCGTAAAATTTGCTTTGTGGAGCATTGCAAGATCGTGGGTGTACGTGTCTCCAGATAGTTTAAAAACTCCTTGGCATAATTTACGGCCAGCTAACATATTTCATGTTGAGGATGATGAAGATGACAGCCACGAATGTGAAGGTTTTCGAATATCGCAAACCAAAGGTTAAATTTTCCAATTAATGGATTTTTATTAATGAAGTTTGATGATAGTTTATGCTCCCCCAAAGTAATCAAATATGTAAGCATAGAGAATTTTCTGACTTCTCGTTCCTAAATTCATCTCTTTTCTATGTTTAGTACCCAAATGGGATTGACAGTAATCGATTAACAATTTCGACTGATTGGACGGATAGATCGTACTCTTTTGCTTCCAGTCAGATGTTGATGTAAAGAATGAAGACACTCCGTCCATGAATTTTTACGGCGTAAAGATGCAATAAATTTTCGAATTCCTCTTCTTAAATAAATGGTTAACATGTCCATGTGGCAAGTGGGAAATTTTGGTACGAGTCACGGGGATAGCACAGCGAATTTTTCCCCTTTAGGGCTCCAAAAAATCTAATATCTCTGCAATGGAGAATGCACATTGATTGAGCTATTCGAAATTCCAGGTTTCACTCTGGGCCAAGAATAGAAGGAACTTTCAAGATTTCCTCCTAACTTCTCTACAAAGTTTAACTGACAGATACTAAATAAGCGTGTATTTGAGGTTTACTTATGTTCCTTTCATAAATATAAATAATTGCATGATATTTTATGTTGGATTTCCAGTCTGAAATACCTTTTGACTATATTGCATTTTGATGGTAGATGACGAATTAGAAGAGATAGTAAAGTGAAAACAATGAGATAATTAGATTAATTAACAGAATCCTTACAACTTGAATCTACATACTTACACATTACACCTGTGGCATTTTGATAATTATATGCATCACTGTATTTGAGGAATTATTATTATTTATTTGCATTTGATACATTTATCGCATTTGATTTATTATTATTATTATTATTATATTTTATATGTTATCAATTTGATGATGTATACCTAATATAGTGTTCTTTATCTTTTACATTTACTATTAAGGTATAAAAGATAACTGGGTTAAAGAATACAAAATTTTACAACTTGAATTTCTATAGCTGTACATTACTCATATAGTATTTCGATATATTATACGTGTCATTGTATTTAATGTATTATACGTATCTAAATATTGTATATACTATTCTTTATATTTTACGTTTATACTATTAAGGTATAATAAAACAACTGGGTTAATAAAAGCAAAACTTACAACTTGCATTTACACAGCTACATTACACCTATGGTATTTCGATGTACTGCATTTAACCTATTTATATGTACCTATCATATTAATGTAATATTTATACCTGTTAGTGGTTCTCAAACTTTTCTCTCCCATGCACATCTTTAGACGATTATTTTCCTTTTTCCTTTTTTTTCTTTAGAAAATTCGAAAAATGTACCCACATTTATTTAAATATAGATTTTTTTAATGTGTTTTATAAATTAACAAAAATAAATAAATAAATAAATAAATAAATACAGAAAATGTTTTTAAATACCAAAACGTGAGTAAAAATATTTTTTATATTCATGAAACTAAAACTAAATACTTAGCAAATAAATAAAAGTCTGAGCGCATCCCCCTGAAGCTTTGGAATTCCTCGCGGGGGAGGGGAATTTCTACTCTCTTTGAGAACCTCTGGTATGTATTGTCCCTTTAGATTTTACATTTATGTTATTAAAATATTATACTAAAATATTTTGAATATATCGTATAAATATTTGTATTGTTTTTCGAAATAATAAACGCTGTCATTAATTTGTTCCCCAAAGATTGGACAACTGACTTTCTGGATAACTTGCTTATGAATAGCGAATAGATCATCTATCCTTGGGAGGGGAAACACGCTTTAAAAGGTTAAAGGCTGAGAGATGACGCCGAATGGATCTTTTGAGCAGCATTTTAACTGCATTAAATCATGTGCATTTTACGTTTTTTTTTTAATACTTTAGGAAGTTAAACCGTGAAACAGTTATTTTTATTATATAAGAATGACGTGTTTTATGTGACTTACCTTTATTACCAGTTCTAATGGTACTCGTCTGGTGAATATCAGTCTTCTGTTGAGATCAAGTAAAACTGAACTCAAACCAATATTTAAACCCCGAATTCTAGGATCAAAAGGGATAAATGCAGGTGGAATAGGTCTATCAGGTTCTATTGGCTGCAGTGTCGTCTCAGGTTTCTCTGGCTGAGATGGCTCTTGTGGTTCTTCGGGCTGGAGTGTGACGCCATTTGTTTCGGGAGGATTGGGATCCTCCGTTTGAATCGTTGGGTTTTCATTTGCCTCAGCTGAAGTAGCACTCTCCACTTGACTGGTTGCTACATCATCTATTTCAACTGGAAGAATACTGAAAAATAAAAGACATTGTAAATCATATACTTAGGGTAGTTCTACTTTCTGCAATTTGAAATATGTATAATTTGGTTAACACTATACTCATATCTCAGAGAATTATAGCCTAGTGTTTGTCTGCGAAGGAAAAGCTTTCCAATTTTATTAGATTATATTTAAATTTAAAACTGTTATTTTTGAATACTAAAAGCACGTTCAAAAGAGCTAAAGTTTGCATTTAGTCTCTGAAGTTCTTCAAATCGTAAATCAGTCTTTAAATCTGATTATATTTAAACAAAGGAAATAATTTTAATGCAGAACTATTCTTGGTTCCGATATTATCATAGCACATTTAAAATACAATCTTCATCTCTAGCAGAAGCCACCAGGTATTGACATCATCATTGTTGAACACAGAAGTTAGATGACTCCTGTTTAAGCACTCTTCGAATGTCTTGCCATATTTAGAGCTAACAATGTCTAGAAGCAGTCACTTTCATGTGTTAATAATTTTATTGCTAATTAATGAGTTTGGAATTCTTTACAAATATGAAAATATTTAATCTGTACCCCTAATGTATCTTTAAAGGAATTTGAATCTTAATTCAGAAATGCGAATAAACTAATAGATGCTTCGCATAACGAGAGTGTCAAGCAACGAATGTTTGAATACGAACGAGTGCACAGCTGTCCAGCATAACGACCCTTGGCCCCTGAATACGAATTACACAAAACCAATTATCATACATTATTATGTTATTATACACATTATTAACTGTGAAACTAAATTTATTTTATTTTTATTTAGGCAGTACTTAAATGCAGAAAATGTCTCTGTGTCATGTACGTAAACATATTTCTTAACATTACATTATTACCAAAGAATCCACAGCTGGATTAATCATTGAGCAAAATAAGTACGCACTTAGGACATCAAGGAAAGGAAGTACCATAGAAAGATGAGTAAATCCAGAGCCGGATTAATCATTGAGGAAAATAAGTATGCGCTTAGGACATCAAGGAAGAGGAGTACCATACTGAAAAATAAAAAGGTGCGTAAGGACTGAAGGAAAGAAATACCGCTATTATTTACCATTACCTATTTTGCCATGAAAGATACAGTGCAGCTAAGCAAGATTTAGATAGAATAGAACGAGAAAAAACTGGGGTAAATGCATGTGCAGGAGGCAAAATCTTATAAAGTTTAGAGCCTCTAAAGTCTTATGGAATACCATGGAAACCCGCAAGACCTACCGGAACAGAAAAAAAAAAAAAAAAAAAAAAAAAAAAAAAAAAAAAAAGGGAAATCTGGAGTAAGTATCTTTTGTTGAGGACCAGAAGAATACAGGTGACAGGTGAAAGCGGGTCCGGACACCCGGGCGGCTTACACGGAATAATCGGGTATTACCAGAAAAATACAGAGAGTCCGTGCTTTTAGCAACCGTCAGAGCTTTCTGATGAAGTGAAATAATATTTTGGCCGCAATAATTAAGTTGAACTGATTGGTAGATCTTTTCAGAGACACTACTTTAAGATTACCCTGAAGAATAATGAAAATTTAACCGTTGTAAATAACTTTCTGAATCTGCGATGTCCCAAAAAACCAACGGCAAATGTGCAAGGCGGTTAAAAACAGTTCGGTCTTCGCTTCTAATAGAAGACTTAAGAATTATATTGTGACGTTTGTGACTTAATTTTACTAATATCTGTCTTTATTTAATTTATTTCCTATGTTCTTAGTCTCGTCACGATATTCGCTCAAGTCAGAAGTTCATGTTAATTTTACGGCAATAGGCATAATTTAAGTTTAAAATATTATCATAATCATGAATTCATTGAAGTTTTACCGGTGTACTCTCTCTACCTTATTCACCGATAATGAGGTAGTCGTCCACTGAGTTTAGTTAGCTCTAAGACTAAGACCCCAGTTATCGGGACTATAAATATAAGCTTGTGAGTATCTAGGTTTGTCCCTGGGAGAGACCGGAGAGCTGTTGTCTTTGCAGCTGTAATTGTCAGCGGACAAGAAATCACCAAAGTTGGTGTTTTCTATTTGTAGTTGTATTACCTTGCAAAACGTTTTATGTAAGAGTTTAATTTTGAGTCTTATTGGGTTTGAGTAGACCAAGAGATAACTCGCCAGTATTTGTTCATAAATTCTAGGATTAGCTGTTATGTGCAAGGACAAGTAGTGTTCCCAGTTAGTTTAATACCATCGAAGTTATAATATTACAATTAAACTGAAAAACTATAATATTATATACATTCATAGTGCTCGTAAATTTTTGATAAAGAAAAATAAATTAATTTCTAATGGCGTCTTATAAATTTTAAATTGCTTCAACAGATTAAAATTATTCTCATAGTAACATGTAGGAAATAGTGCTCCACATAAACAGATTTAGAATTAGCACCATCCCAGAACGGATTACGGTCGTTATGCGAGGCACCACTGTATTAATAATGAAATCTATGAAAAATTCATTTCACGTTGTAAGTATGACGAGTGAAACGAGTTCTTTATAGACAAATCCTTAAATTCTGTCTAAAATGCAGTGCAACACCCCGTAAAATGGGAGACTTGAGATTTTTTTCCAAACTGCTTGCCTGAACAAGAGAGCTTTTACAGTTTTAAATTTGATATTTAGTTTATATGTCATAAATAAACTAAATCCTGATTTCTACAAGTTTGAGAATTAAAGGAATTACTATTGAATAGGAAAATAGGATGAAGATACTGCATATCAGATTAATTTATGTCTATGATGACGAAACATTTCAACCAAATCTGTATGGAGGAAACAGGAACTTTTAACGAAGTTTATTTCATTACTCTGATCTTTGATTATTAATAAATATTCTCATATTTTAAAATGGCTATTTTATTAATATTTGATATCATTTTACCATAACTGCGGTTTATGTAATAAGTTCTTTTTAATTAAAAAAAATCTTACGTAGAAGCCACAACCAAAATTTCATCACTTCCATCTTCTTCAGAATATATATCTATATCTCTCGGAATTCTCGATGACAGAACACCTGTGAAATATAAAAGAAAGCATTTAATAAAATAATCTCATTTAGTGGGCAAAAAAAATTCCTTAAGAGGCAATATTTTTGTCAATCTAAAGCATGTAATATAATTTTGAGATTTTAATCCACAAAATAGTATTTTGTACATTCCTTTTTGTACTACAGTTTAAAATAATTCCAAATAAATGTTGTAATAGCTTCTTATGTATTACACTATAGTATAAAATAATTAAAGGCTGAAATTATTTACCCCAGCATAATTTGCAACAAGTAAGAACAGCAAATCTAGCGTTTCATTTAGAATTTTCTATAGGTGTTTGAAATAAATCGATACATCGGAGACGGTTGAATTAAATCATGTTCTACATTACTAATTACTATTCTACTTGAAATAGATGTGATAAATTTTTTGTAATAGCGAAGGCTGAGAAAAATATGCATGGGAGTGTGAAAACGTAAGCAGTATTTTTCAGTATCATTTTTTTCTACTTTACTGCATTTCTTCAGAAGACTAATGAGATAATGCAACACGCACTTTTCCTCCCTACTAGATTGATTATCTGAATGTGGAAAAGTGCACGAGGGCTATCTGCCTAAGGATAGTTGCCATTGTACTGGACATTCTAAAGGATGTCTTTGCAAAAGACTTTCTATGGAAAGCTGGCTAGGATTTGCATTATACATGGGAAAAACAAACGAAAAACAACCGTGCAGCCAGCCGTTTGCATGGGTCCAGGACGAATTTATAACATTCAATCGTTTTGTAGAGACATGTTATTTCGAAGCAGGAGAAATTAAAAATGAGCAATGCCCTCCCCGGGACTTGAAATTCGGACCTCTCGAATACGTGCGAGTGTGCTGACCATTACACCACAAAGGCATGCTAAGAAGGCTGGATACTTTATAAACTATACTTTTAATGGGAGACTGGTGTTAGGGGACCGTATCGCTAAATCCTGGTGGTGAAGAATCATCATCCACCACCTTTTTTTTAGTTTGGGCGCCACTGTAGAGACATTAGGATATTTTAAGTAGGAAACACGAAAAATGAGCAATGCTCTAGCCGGGACTTGAACATTGGACTTCTCGAAATACGCGCTGAGTGTGCTGGCCATTACGCCAAGAGGGCATGCTAAGGAGGCAGGAGAAATACCTTATAAGCTCTCCCTTTTAATAGGCGACTGGGGATTAGGGGACCCAGTTACCAAATCCTGGTGGTAGAGAATCATCATACACCACTTTTTTTTTAGTTTGGGCGCCACTGTAGAGACATTAGGTTATTTCGAAGCAGAAGACATGGAAAATGACTCGACCTCGGGACCTCTCGATTACGCGCCTTATTGTTTACACTATAAGGTATTTCTCGCACCTTCCTAGCGTGCTTTCGAGGTGTAGTGGTTCTGCACGCTGGGTCGGTATTCTAGAAGTCCGTAGTTCGATTCTCGGCGAAGGCGATTGCTCTTTTTTCATCTTGCCTGCTTCCAATTAACCTAATGACTCTACACCACCACCAAGGCATGCTAAGAAGGAGGGAGAATAGTCTTTAATCGCATGGCCACTGGTGGGACTTCTCTTGTCTAGAAAAACTTGCAAGCTGAAGAATATACGAGCATTTCTTTTAATTAAAATTAAGGAAATCGTGGGTAAAACTACGAGAACCTAAAAGGCTTATCAGATCAGTCTAAAAGCGGCTTCTTGGGAAAAACAATGTTTGAAAGGCCGTTATTAGCAGAGTCTTGGATCCCTGATATTTTGTAGAGCTCTGAGAGGACTTCAAGTTCGACTGTTATAAACCCAGCGGCAAGAAAACTGCCGATGGAATGCACTGTCTTACAAAATTACTTAAGTACTTATTTAATGTATAGGCTAGGAGCTCTATCATTTCATATGCCAATCCGTGACAGCTAAGTTACGCAGCCACCACCCAATTAACATAGAGTATACAAATCTAGATAATTACTCTTTATCAGTTTTACCACATTCACTGAATATATGTAGCACAAATATGAGCAGCACTATAGCACTGAAATATGAGCAATGTTGCTAAGATTTACAAGATCGCAGTTTGCTATTGTAACACTTTCTTGTACCTTGTACTTTGCATACTACAACTTCTTTGATGCTTGCCGAATAGTTCAATATTTTTATCAACAAACAACGGCTCTCTTCAGAGGGATTTTCGGTAATTTAGGAATTTTCCAGGTATTCGAATTTAACTTGCCAGATTTAATGGCCACAAATGTTTTTTTTTTTTTTTTTTTTGAATGAATGAATGAACTACTGAGAAAGAATTTATTTAGTTCTACGAATAATTTATGTACTTGTTTCTTAAATTGATGAATTATTTAATTGAATTAATTTGGTCATATCTCTACGATTTCATTAAAACTTATATTAATATCAATAAAAAATTTTAGGCTTTTCCAGTTTCCAAAGGAATACTTTTTTCAATTTCTTTTATAAAAATAAAATTCTGATTTAAAATATATAAATTTATGTGTTACACATCAAGTACTAAACTGAAACTATGAAAACAAAAATGCACAAAAATGTGAAATGTACATTATTTAAATAACTTTGAAACTCTTTTTAGCTGGCCAATAATATGGACAACTGCAACGAGAATTTGTATATTGTGAGGTGTAATTAATATTTTACCACTCAGTTTTTGCGTTCGGTAGATGGAAGTTTCCGTCATTTAAAAATATATAACGAATAACAGATTTTTTTTTTTTTTTTTTTTTTGGTGTTGGTGCTGAAAATGAATGCGTGGATGGTTACGAAAAAGATGCAGTCATGGTCGGTTGATGTATTGTGGATTTGGATCACGATCAAACCGGTTCACGAACAACCTTATAAATTTTCCGAAAGAAAAATGTCTTGGAGGACAATTCAAGTCTCGAAATACGAAACAACTCGAAATACGAAATAACTAACAAGTCAACAACTAACGATACTTCAAAATGCATTAGCGTATTGAAGAAAATGTCATCAGAAGAAAAAGAGAGAAGGGAAGATGTTCCAAGTTATTTGATCCTCGAATGTTCTGCAAAATGGAGTTTGAAGCAACGGTTCATAACGCCCGTAGTATAAATATTTGCAGTGATCGTATCTTCAATATCGTAATTTTTTAGGAACATTTTAAAACATTTATAGAAACAAATCACAGAGGATAAATTTTTAATGGGATAAAAGCTTAGCCATTCACAAGTAGATACGAGTAATTTTAAGAGAAAGAGATTAATGGTACAAAGTTAAATATGCACAAAATTCTTGCCCGGTATTTAATAATAATAAGCTTATATTTAATTTACATTAATTCTTATGGGGAAAATTGCTTCCGTTTACAGATGACAAACTACCTTCAGGAACGAATTAATTTCGTGAGCCAAGATTTCGCTGTGTATTTCTTTATTCTAACACTCATTAATCGTACAAAATATGCACAAAATTCTTGCCCAGTATTTAATAATTATAAGCTTATATTTCTATACTTAAACCATTACAGCATGTAACGAAAAAAAAAAAAAAAAACGATAATTAGTTAGGTTATTTGAATATGGCACAGGAAGCCTTCGTAGAGGGAAAGGAAGCCTTCCTGGAGGTCTTTCTAACATAAATTCCCTTTTATTCACGTTAAACATGGGAGAAACAGCAGAAACTAAACATGCAACCAGCCCGTTCGCCTCGGTTTCAACCTGGGTCGAACTACCAGTATTCAGCGGCTTAAACTACTCGGCCATTGGTGCTGCAGAGAAGCGATGGATAAGATATTTGCCGAACAAAGGCAAAGCATGAGAAGAGCAGAGATTACGATATTGATATAATAGTAAAGATTACCATATACATAAAGACCAGAGAATTATACTGTGGCTTTGTTTCTGTTGGTTAGTTTGAAGTTTTAATTTTATTCTAAATGAAGAAAATATTTTACCGTTACTTCTCCCATTATGTAAATAAATATGCCATTTGCATTTCATAAGAATCATATGACAAGGATTCATTTTGAAATGCCTCTTAGAAAAACTTTTATTCGGCATATTGTTAATTTTTAGCACTGAAAAAGTAAATTACCAGCTTTGCAAGGAGACTTAAGGGGATATTACGAATCAAGATTAGAGTTACCTCTTACGTATACAGTAGCAAAATAAAGTGCATAGATAAATTACGTAATTAAATTAAGTGAGTAAAAAATAAGCAAGAACAATCAATTCACCTTAGCATTGTGCTAAGAATTTTAAATGTTAAATAACAATTATTGCCGCAAGAAAACTGACTTTCAATAATTTAAAAATCGTAAAGTAAGCCTTCACCGGCAAAGTATGTTCTTTTACTATTAGCCTTTTTCATTAGCTACCTAAACAAGTTATAGCAAGATCCCGAAATACATTAAACATAACGGACTACATGATCAAAGCAAAACTTTCTGTAATATTATTTAATCACCAAGACTAGCCCATCGCCAAAAGCCCTCTTCTACCAAAAGAAAAAAACATACTTCTTTTTTCATTTTTCCTGATACTGCATTTTCTAGTTATATGCATGAGTAATTAGTCTATGCAATATTATTAGCCCAAAGGAACGTTAGCCCAGAAGGGATTTTAGTCTCGAAACAACATTTTACGTCAGTTAACTATAAACGGCGGATCACTTTTTTAATTGTTGCCACCAAATATTATCGCCCTGTATTATATTTAAAGAAATTAAATTATGAAGAATCTGCCTGAATGTATATATGTTTCTCGCACTGGGAAAAATATGACGGTACCTAGAGCCATCAAATTTTGTATAACGCAATCCTCCACCCGAACACGGGCACCTGAAAGCCCGAATTTGAAATTTTGAGTTTGTTTTATTGTCTATTTCCTATTTTGTAAAGCTTTAAAGAGTTTTTGATTAACAAACTCAACGATTTCAAAGCAAGCAATGTCAACACAGTACAGGAGATAAAAATTATCTCCAGTGCGCGAGACTGTCTATCGGAAATTCTAAAGATATGCTGTTTTTAAATATTTTTAGCATAAAGGGACATAGCCTAAATGCTCTTTAAACGTCTATGTGTATAAATGGAAAAATAACGCCAACGGCCCTTTACGTGTAATATAAAATCTGAAATCCTTCAGATCTTTTTTGTATGTATTTTTCGATTTTATATGTTCAGTATTGTTATATTTTTCACAGTTTATATTGATACACGTTTCAATTATTGTAGTTCTTGATTTTGTACTTAATACCCATAATATAACTGATTATAATATTTTAATCAGCCGATAAAAATTAGGCAGAACACTTTAAAATTACCTAGCATTGACAAAAATTTTATAAAATTTAGTTTTATAAAACCAGTTTTCTGTTTTAAAAAAAAAATTCTTTAAAGGAGTCAATCTACTAGAAAGATTTGAAACCATAGTTTTAAATGTTAAACTTGTGTAGCACTGAGCAATTCTTTTTGCGTAACAGTAAAGGTAAATTAAGGATCTTAGCCTCCTCCGTTGGCAACAAAATGTATTTAAATTGAAAACTATAAGTACTTCGATGTATTTGACAAAAAATGCAATGTTCGAGAATAAACTGTTTGCTTTAAATTTATTTTTAATAAGAAATTCGATTACCCTGATTCGATACAAATCAGATTATTGAGATTATAACGCAGCGCTTTTACACATGTTATCCATGAGGAAACTTTGACTCTGTATTAATGTTTTGGGAATCACCAAAACATTCATAATCTTTTTAAGCATAAATATATGATTAATCTTAATCTTCTTTGAGCATAAATATATGATTAGCATCTCCTAAATGTTTCTAGCAGAACCCTTATAATCTCCTTACGATGCATTCTAATATTATAGCGGAATTCTTCCAAATTACTAGAATTACTTTTAGGGAAGCCCTTACAAATTTACTGTTTCAATTAGACAGTTTTCTGTTTACTGTTTAGTAGTAATAATAGTAGTGAATTCAGTAGTTCAGTAGCTCAGCAGTAGAGTGTTCAGTCGAGAGAGTTTCTCAGTTTAGAGTTCTTAGAACCCTAACTGATAAAACCTTTGCATTATAATACCTAATTTCCAAGACCAAAAATTATTAATTTAACTTCGTTTGCTTGAAAACGTGTAAAGTAATAAAACTTACCGGAAAAGTAGAGTATAAGCAAAACCCCAGAGAAGGTGAAAACGCTCATGCTTGATGAAAAAATGTTTGCGAAAGTGTTGCTTTCTGTCAAGGTGAGTTTACTTTATAAAAAGCATCTTATCTCTCCCTGGCCTTGTAGCTTTCTTGAAAATTCCTTATATTTTGTTTTCCTTGAAAAGCTGTAAATTTATTACTTATATAACCCTTTTCTCCTACAATTTCAAATAATCTTGCTGTAATTATAGCAATACTCTTCTAAAAATATTTCGGAAGCAAGACTTTTTATCATAAAATAAAATCCGCGTTAGTTCAGTTCGTAGGCGGATTTTGAGGTGGGTAAAATAATGGGATAAGAATCTTATCATCTTCCTTTTCACAGAATGCATAAAATTACGGCAAAGAAACTAAACATGAATACCAGGATGTTTTCAACTTTGTAAATGTTTACTTATAAATTTCGAAATACTGTGACTTCTTGAATGTAAAGTTAGAAAATATGAAATCTGATTCACTGGGTCATCATTATAATTATAAATCAAAAATTTACCATATCACTCAATGCATACAGAGCACGCTTCATAAACTGAAATTAAGATGGCAGGAAAAATTTTCGAATGATCAAAAACTGGATTTAACAAAATTTACGACAAACGGAGCTTAGAAACCCCTAGAATTCCACAAAAATATACATATATGAAACTTGAAATGGCACATAATTAACAAATTACACCCTGATTACCCCAAAATCTGTAGTCAAACATAGAGTTAAATAATAGATTTAAAATACAAATGTAAATTGTTAACAATTCAGTTTGCAAAAATGAATACGTATGTTCGTCTAAAAAATTAAATAATTGCAAACTCGCTAAGCAAAGTTAGAAAGAGTATATAAAAAGGACAAAGTTATAACATAAAACAAAGATCACTAGAATTTTTAAAATTTTCTGAAAGAAATCTAAAAATTTTTAAGTGCTGAGCAATTGTTTGGTTAATTGATTTAGTCGAGTATGTGAGGGCTATGTACCTAAGGGAAGGCATATCTTCTGTCCCATTCTTGCCACTAGATAGCGGGTATCTCTTTCTTTTCTTTTTCTCTAATTGAGTTCTGAGAACGAGGTTAGATTGGAACCGCTCTGAAGAGCGTAAAGACGAAACTTCAGACTCAGAAAAACAATTAAAATGTGCTGTCTTAAAATAATTATCACCTACCTTGTAAATTGTGTATATTAGTGTTTTATTTGAATAAATAAGTAAAAGACAAGATGGCCTGTTAATTCTAATAGAAACCCTTACTGGAAAACGTGATTATTAGAAGCCTGGCGTCGCGAACACTGAAGATGCAGCAGGTAAGGAATTTTACATTAATTTTATTGTAAATAGAAGAATCTGATGCAACATCTTCGTAGAGGAAGAAAAGGAAATAACTCACATTTCTAATGCACATAAAAAAAGTCCATTGGAATTTGAGTCCTGGCTAAAATGCAAATACTCACCGGTTTTGTTCCCTCTGCCTCTGACAGGCTAACCAAGAATTACTAAATTGCAAACTAAGAAGTGAATACAAGTTTTGACAACGAACCAAGAAGTAAATACGAGCTTTGACATTAATATTCAGGTCTCTATTGCTGATGCTAATACGGAGTCAGGGTCCACCAAATGAGTAGATGTACCGCCGGAGGATGTCGGTTATTATTATTGCTCATTGGGTGGATGCAACAACAGGCATTTATTGAAAATAAAAAGTTACATTAATACAGGATTAAAATAGTTTACAAATAGCATTCTTAGAATATTGAAAAAAGTACTATCAGCTAGCATATATTATACTGTATTTAATAATAATGTTCCAGAAATATAAAATAAACCAAAAATTTGAAATGGAATTTGCTTCTTAAATTATAAGAGCGTTATTTTTATTGATATAAGTTAATTTTTAATTAATGTAAGTAATGGGTTGAAATATTTTATAATATAATGTAGCTATAAATTCAATCTTATACATTCACATATTTAAGAATGATTAAAATCATTGGAACTGGGTTAGTTTTGTTGTTCCAATAAAGCACCGTGAGAGACAGACGGAGCAGAAGACCACGAAAACAGAGAAAAAAAAAGGGGACGACAAAGAAAAGGAAGGAACTAGCAAGGAGTCGTGTTTGTTTTCAATTAATGTCCAGCATCTATCGACTGTTTAAGTTTTCTTTTCGTCCGTCAAACTGCGAGGTAAAATTTTGTGCAAATATTCTTTTCCTTCATAATCTGGTGTATTCTTTCAGCGTCAATATGAGGTTTATCATCATACTGAAATCATACAATTGTGTAATTGTACCAGTTCAGAGACTTCTTCACGCATGCTTAACGACCATCTACTCTTTAGATTAAAGTTATGCGTAACAAGTTTGCTCTTTCCGACCAGAAATTTTTGAGGGTGTGATGTCACTGAAACATTACCTGCTCGAAAGAACTATTTCGTTAGGGAACTAAGTGTAACTGTACTTTTCAGTGTCCTATTTCTGTAGGTCCAGTGAAGTTACTAAACTCGAGCGTTAAGAAGAGCATAGCTTTGCATATTTACTGATCATATTCAATTTCGGTACTTTTCCGTTTTGCCGGCGCAGGCTCTAAAGTCGCCAATAATGGTACAACCGATGCCAAACGGAATATCCTGGTTGGTAACCTTTTACGCCTCATTTTCAAAACAAGTCGCAGTCTTTTCTTATCAGACTGATTGTTTCTTTCAATACTGGCATATAATTACATAGAAGTTTCACCAGATAGTTCAATTTTATGTCTAAGGCCATTTTCGGTAATTTAGTCAATTAGGATGCAATCACAGCGCTTACCCAAAGTCGAAAATTTAGAAAAGGCAAAGTAAAGGGCTAAATTCATCAGTTCTAATGAAAATAACTGCTTTAAAAAGATCAGGTGCTGTAAGTAGGGACAAAATCACAGATCCAATACCTGTAAATTAAAACCAGATGTAAAACCAACTTGCATTTACTGTCACGAAAATCACGTTTCTTCTTCTCGTCGTTGTAGGGTATACAGAAAAAGATTCAATGATTTAAAGAAGATAAAAAAACCACAAGAAATTCCCACTAAAGATGACTTCCTCGAATTCATTCAAGCTTCAGGCCAAACTAATCAAGAAATGCCTAAAAATCTTTACAGTAAGAAAGTTAAGCAGAAACACCCGCAGGAAAATCTAGCAGAAACCATTAACATTTTTAAAGAACAGAAAACCCTTTATCTCATGAAATCAATCACCACAATCGCTCAGAGAATTAAGTCAGCTAAATCAAATATGCAGAAACTTTGCCCAGATCAAGATTAATCCGCACCTTCTCTCAAAACAAGCACAGCCAAGCGGCAGAAATCCTCAAGTTGCAAATCCTCACATCGTGAGGCCGTATTTACTTCTCTTCTAGAGACTCTGCACTAGGTGCAAAAAGTACGTTCCATCTTACTGGATTCAACTCATCATTAATACACCCTACTTATAATATATTGGTAAAGGTCACACTAGGCCGATTGCCTCTTAATTGTGTTACGACATAGACATAGACATAGACATAGCATAGTTATAATATGAATGAAATATAACGTTGTTAAGTGAGCCTAGCGCCAAAGTGTCGCTATGGTAAACAAATATAGTGACTTTTAAAGAGTGCATTTATTCTATTGTGGTTTATGCGGGATCGACAAAGTAGATTTAATTCAATCCAATATGTTTAATGAAATGCAAGAAAAAATGCGTATTATTTAATATTCCGTACAAAGAAGTCATGTGGCGTACACATCAGATTTTATATATATATATATATATATATATTTCTAATCTAGATATTCGTATAAATTCGTAATACAAGACATTCTAAAAGTTTGGCTGCATTGTAAAATATTGTATAAAATCAGCAAACTGGTGTATCAGACTTCTGTTTGGAACTGAACGCTTTTCAGAAACGAGGTTTTTAGGAAGGCGAGGGTATATTTTAGTTCAAACTATCACTGACAGATGGCGCTATGCTATTAATCCTGGAAAATTGGCACATTCAAATCCTTTAAAAGAAAATGTGAAACTAAGAATGAGTAGAATTGTGAATTATGAGTAGAATTCTGCATTATTAATAGTATTATAGCATGCTTGCAAATCAAGAGATAAGCGCTGTGTAATCTTTATTTCTTTATTCTCTTCTTATATTGCAGCATTTCTCAGAGTGAGTGTTAGGCCCACTGTGAGAACACAGAATTCTCACAGTGAACACGGTGGCTGTATCGATTCTTAAATCGTTATCGCACCCTGCCACGTGCATCGCAGTGGATAAAAACTGGAAGGACTGGTTTTCTCTTTTTTCTGCCTGTCGTCGTGTTAACGAGTGTGTGGGCCTTCGGGCCACACACACACCACACACACATACAGCTCTCGCCATCGTCCAACGGTACTCGATCTAAAGTCCATTTTTCTAGGATAGAGGAGAAAATATGTTCTTGTACGAAGAATATAAAAAATCAGGTAAACTTTACTGATTAGGCTGCGAGGTAAAAATTGTTCCTGTGCTGTGACTCAACGTGTATAATCCTGACAGTTGGATGTTTCGAAGTGACGACCATGTGCGCCAATTTCAAGCCTATCTGCTAGAAATGTGATCTCTTCTATCACGAATAAGTGCACTGCATATTAATTAAGCTTCTTGCAAGATGCTGATAAGTAATGGGCATTTGATGCAGCAAGATTAGGAATTGCAATATACCGTAAAAATGAACGCTGTGACAGTCCCGTAGGACTAACGAGTAGCACATGCCGCAGGGCATTCATGAATGTGTTTTTTTCTTATAACATATCGAATATAGGCTAATCAAGAAAAGTGTATTTTTGTGATTTATATAGGTTAATCAAGAAATGTGTGTTTTTGTGATTTAATAAATGTATATTTAAAAGAGAAATTCGGCTCATGCATGCATTATTGGGTAAGTCATTTTATTCTTATTATTAAACATCATGCAATGTACTAACCACTGAATTTTAGTATTAACTATTTACGCGGAATTAATTCGCATTTGATACCCTTAGTATAATTACTTTTATACGATCACGGCTAGCAACACCACATTTATGGTGCCGTGACCAGGATTATAATAATAAAGGCA